TTTTGTCACTTCACTCCGAACATCACAAATATCGTGCCGCTTAATGCCAAAAATGCATTGCTAAAAAAACAAGATTGAAAAAAATTGCACATCGCTTGCACCATTTGATTATTGCCACTATAAAGCTTGCATCTTGCCACGAAAAGTGGCCAAAAATTGGGTAGATTCTGACATTGAAGTGCAACACAACCACTCTCCATGAGAGATGATATTCTGTCATGCATGTTTGGTGCTTGACACCACGGTTTATTGTTGTGCTATCGATGCACGGCCTATCTGTGTTTTTCCCGCTCTCTCAATTTTAGAAAACATTTGAATTGAGACGCATAAAAAGTCGAGTACTTATGAACGTGGATCATGCGTTCATGCCGACCACGGTATGTATCAAAACAATTGTCCGTCGTGTACACAAACACTTTTTTCACCCGGTCGATGTTTTTTCTGGACGATTTTCGGTTGTACTCAATGCATCTCGACAACTGTTTACTTGTAGGACATTCATGGAGAGTGTATACTGTGCATCATTCATGGAAAAGTGAATCAAAAACAACGCCGATTGCATCGTTATACAAGCAACAAAAAGAGCAAGTATTCAACAAGCTACTAGAATAAAAGAAATAACAAAACAGTCGCGTGTATCGTGTATGAACAAAACAAGCTGGTTTCGAGAACTAGAAAAAAATAGATTTACTATGTATGCACAGTACCATCGACGGCCGAAATTGTGTTATCATTGAGATTTAAATTGAAAGAATCGTCACCAAGCCAGTCAAAAATATGACTATGGATTGAAGCGCACTGGCAACGTACACTTCAATAAAATAATACACTTGGCAAACACAGAATTGCCCATTGAGTGAATCGCACAAATCAAACGGAAAAAGTATTCAATACACCCAGACAATGGTATGATATGTTTATGAACGCGACGAAAAAAAAACGAGTCAATTGGAAAAATAACGCAGAAAGCTGATAAAAAGAAAATTAAACTGCAACTGGTACATTTGTAGGTTTTTTTTCTACATTCGCGCACTTAATGCACAAGTGATGTTCATATTATTGTGTAATGAATGTTGATGAATTCTGATACCACACACATACGTGCGCGCTTTTACTCCGATCTTTTTTCCACTTGTTCTTCGTTGGCATTTGACAGCTTGTGCAGTTTTTTTGCGTTTACCGTCAGGCACATCTGCATACAAAGAAGGATTTCGGTGATTCCACACTAATATAATGGTCTTTTAATTTGTGACAATTAAAATGCACGTCAGTTTGTGCACATTTTGAAAGCAGTTAAAAAAACGAAATAAAAAATGAAAATATGTGTAAATACACTGTATAAAACTCATATAAATCTTGACTGCTGGACTAAGTCCGAAAGTGCAGTCCATTTTATGAATAATTAATTTTATCTGGCGTTCTTTTCGTTTTACTTATTTGGGAAAAAATATTTTAATAGAACTGGAAGAGTTTAGGACTCCAAAGTTCAAGTCAAGGAAACTTTTCGTTGAAACCGATTTAAATTCTAAATCGAATACTTTTGATAGTTTTATCTCATGAAAGAATAAAGTGAAGGCGTAAATTGACACAAATCGAAATAATTCTGGTTTTCAATGGGTATCTGATATCGTTTTGTTCGATTTATAAACATTGCATGTGAAATATGTCAGTTTGCTAGCTAATACCATACAAATAGGATTAAATGCCACAAATAACAGAATGACAATAAAAATAGCAGCATTGAGTGTCGTAGCTTTTTTTGTTGTTATTTTTATGGTGGCATCGATTCGAAAAAGCAGCATCCTTCTTGTTTATCGCGCATACCACAAAAATTTCACCAAAATTACAAGGGCCTTGACAATGCGAACAAGCTTTATCTTTGATTGGTGTCCACCAGCGTAAAATGAAGCACAACCCATCACACAGTGTCACATATCGAAAGGCTTCATTTAGCATTACGGTTCTTGGTTTCAATATAAAATACCGATACAAAACGTCGACGTTGACTGTTGTTGTCGGCGGTGGCGTTGAGAATGAAAATAACTGGAGCACATTATTAAACTGCATAACATTATGGCGATCAACTTTAGAATCAAACTGCCACCATGACTGCCATCATCGTCACCAGAAACACAACAACATACAGCTGTGCAAATGAACACATGAGCGATGCCAGTTACAAAAATTGAAGTGCGCGATATCTACCAAAACTATAGCACAGGCACTAAAGCAATAACATGATAGAGAATTTACGAGCGCCCGGGAAAAAGGGAAAAGGAAACACGGAAAGAGTAACAACGACAACGGCCATCACACAAATCACTCTAACCAAACATATCATGTGTTTAATCGACTCTTGTGTGGTGTTGTGCAAATGCGTATTTGGCAATTCAGTTTCACATAAATATTCTCTCGTCGCTCGCTCACTCTCTGCCGTTCTATTTCTTTATTTCTGTTTCTTTTACGGCTCTTTGTTATGCGCGTTCTTCCAGTGTGTGTCGCTTTGTTTAGTTCCTATGTCAGTTTGTCCGTGTTCCCTGTCGCTATGAATGTTCACAGAGTATTTGTTTGCATTTTTGCTGTCGATGTTTTTCAATCGGTTTTATAGCCGCTTGTAGTGTGTGCCTGTTTATTTATTCGTTGCTCGTCTCACTCTCTTTCTCTGCATGTTCTCTTACATTTTTTTTCAGCGAAATTGGACATGCAATGGCAGTTGGCACCATTCACTCTTTGAATTCTCTTTTTTTTCATGCTTGTCGCTTACACTGTGTTATGCGTGCAATTTATGTATGAAATTCACTTCAAACCTAATATATTCGAAGAACCCGACAACTGACGATTCACGACAATATTATATTAAATTGTTATTGCATTTTTGCACTCCATCTTCTTATCCTCTCTTCATTCCGTTCAAAGTGTACTTTATTTGCGGTTGGCTTGTTATTTCATCGAAATGAAGACAAACAGAGGCGATCAATATAAGTGGAACAGAAGCAATCGAAAGCATAAAGGAAACAACCAATGGTCAATTCGGACCTGAAACGTCTTATTTTTGGTGTTGAAATCATGAACTGTTGTGTCCGGGTGCTGTGTCCTGCAATGCCACACACTGAATTTTCACTATAGTATTTAACTATGCGACACATTTCAAGTTGAACTGTATCACAGCGTTTGAACGTACGACCAGTTTTATTAACATGTTTTTTTTTTGTGATTGCACTCTGAAATGAAGCGAATGAAAAAAAAAGAACAAGAATTCACACACAACAGACAGCAATGCCATTCGATTGGTGTTGCGTATCAAAGGATTTCTCAACGACTGTATAAATTATTGTGTGCAAGTTGCATTCAACATTAATTCAACCATATAAATATTCATCAGAACGAGCAGAACGCAATTCAATCGATGGCTCTGTGAGCGCAACACATAACTATATGTGTGCAAAGTAAAAATCGCATATTCGCTTTCTTTTATTTTGTTGTGGCGCAGCAAAGTTTAAGGCATCACATCGCAAATTGAATGATGACACTTTACAACCTACACAATTCACTCAGCAATCAAATGAAGCGTCAAAAAAAATGAACTCGCCAACCGAATCACAACGACTGCAATACTAAAAAAGGTAGAGAGACGAAAGAATGCACATCAGACATAAATATCTGAGCTCGTTCAGTCAACAGTTTTCGGATCGTTGACTTGGTGCTCTTTTGTGCATCTTTGCAGATTTGATTTGCATATTGGCAACAATTAACGAAAAGAGCAGAGCGACACATTCGGTCTGTTCATCAATCACATCGTTTGAATGGCGGTGAATATTTTGTCGTTGTCGTCGTCATCGTCGATGCGAACATCGTTTTTGTCGGTGCGACTGCATGTGTGGGTTATTTCTCATATTCATGAGTTGATGGCATTTTTGATTGGAGGCCTTTCCCATTTTGTCTCTCGCATTGACTTTCATCACTTGCATGTCACTGATGTTGTGGCGCGCACGAAATCTATCTGCTATAAAAAGAATGGGCCCGCATTTGGATCGTTTGGAACAATCTCATTTCAACTTGTTTGTGTGTGTTGCACAAAGAAGAGTGTACACGTAGATTTATGTAGATGCAAAAAAGCATTCGAATGCTGTGACATTTATGGTCATGTACGCGCGTGTGTGTGTGTGCCGATTCATTTGCACTCTTTGGTATTTTGGAAATATACTGACTAACGCCGGAAAAAGAATTTGAAAAAGAGACAAACTACCTCTTGGTTGAGCAAATTTTTTTTCTTTACGAATGAATAGAACTAAAATAGAACCTTTTAGACTACCGTAACATCGCCACTAGTCGCTATTCACACTTTGTGTTGAATGTGGTTTGAGCGATTGAATATCTGTGCAGCGCCTACGTCGCATCGAAAGAGAGACGAATGACCGAAATGTTTGAAATTGAGTATGCCGACCGATCTAGTCACGAGAATGCTGGAGCAATAAATAATTCACAATTATCATGACACAATATGTACCGAGCCGCGAAACATGTGCATTTTTCAAAAGTCCATGAATCGTCCTGCAATTACTGCCATTGTTATTTGCATGGTAATTTGACATTTGTTTGCATGCATTCCATTGAGTTTTATTTCGTCTCTCGAACATTTATGAACGAAGCGGAAAAAAACATTTGTCGCTGACAAAACGAATGAATAATGTGATTAGCTCAACTAATCTATATCACATTTGAATGTCGTTCAAACTTTATTGAAAGCAGAAAATGAACAGAAAGTTTAGAAATAGGCTAATTTGCATATTTATGACAAGAATTTACATTCATCGGCATTTACATCATTTGACCCGGAAAATATGTTACAAATATTTGTTTCATTCCGCTGAATTTTATCATCTACGAAAAAGTATGTACTATCTTGTAACATTCTGGTTTTATCGATTTTTGCCTCTATTATTAAAAAAAGCAACAACCTTCGTTCTAAAAAAAATGATTATCTACTCTTATAAACTTACCTTTTGGGGTCACCTCCCAATAATTATCAGCGAAAAAAACTGTGAAAAAAATGAAATCAATTAAAATCAAGAAAACCTGGAAGCAACCAAGAAACGCAGTAGAAATATGTTTTATAAGTTTTTCCATGATTATTATTAATAACCAAAGTGCTTGAAATGTGATTAAGAAAATTTGTATTGGTTATTGCTTCGACTGATGACAGCCCAACCATTAAATTAATTACGCTGATTTCAACCGAAAAGAGTGTAATTAGGGTTTAAAATACCCCAATAACAAAACTTTTTGTCTAACAAATAATTGTGGATTAACATTTTAGTAGATATAAAAGTAAAAAATCGACACGAGTGGTCAATAAAAGATGAACATCAGCTGTTGGATGATGGGAGTTTCGTCAACATTTCATCGTTAAATGCAGCATTATTTATTACTTGTAAGTGTGCAAACAGTTGATGTTCCAAATTGTAAAGTCAAATTTCATGCACTTCACTATTAATTTACTGAATTTGTATTCAGAACCAAAAGTAATCATGCAAAAAAAGCAAACAAAACAAACATGTAAATAAAGTCTTAGTGATAGACGGAGACTAATATGTGAATAAACTTGTTTCATCTTGATCAGTGCACATGCTGTTAATGTTCGCCAACTGTGAAATACTTTTGTTGAAACGAAGAAAAAAATTATGTTTTAGAAATTCAAGAATCTCGTCAAATAGATGTAACATTTTTACGGCGGTTTTCACACACTGAAAATCAGATGCAGTGTGCAGAGCGAAAAAAAGGAGCAAATATACGGTATTACAAACTGTTGAAAACCCATAATTTTGCGTCAAAAATCCTAAAAATACATGTGATCATCATGAATTGGAGTTTAACATCATAATTTTCCAGCTAAAATTCAATCCGTCCGAGTGGTTTAATGACGGTTTGAAAAAGACGTTTAATTTTGAAAATTCCCTCAAGCGAGCCATCGATCAGAAATTTGGTCATCCATAACAAGCATAATTTATGGTGACACATCAGAAGCGCGAAATACCAAAGTAATGGCCTGGTCCATTTGAGAATGAGCCAATAATCAAACAGTGCTACAAGCAAAATTCGAAAAAAAAGGTTATTTTATGAGAGTTCGTCAATAAAATTGACTTGGAATAAGACGCTAGCAATTCGTAAACGAGAGAGTGCGTGTGGATATATCTATATAATATGCTCACTCGTATATGTGTGCGATGTTTTTTTTTCTCGTTCATTCTCTCGTCCGTTTTTTGGGTTTCGTGATGTGGTGCAAGACATCATGCCAGGAAACATCAAAAATACATTTCGCGCACAATAAAAATAATGTTCACTATATTTTTGCCATTTTTATTGCATTTAAAGTGGTTATGTGATATGTGAGCATCGATTTATAGCCGTCTATGCAAGAGATGGAAGTATTTGTGCATGTACAAGTGATGATGCATTATCTCTCTTGCGGCCTCAGAGAGAAAAAGAGAGAGAGAGATTGAGAAAAGAATGAAAAAATAGCCATCACGCAGATTTAAGTGATCGTGCTTGGGCGCGCGCACGCATAAAATCCACAAAATATTCTCTCGCCCGAACGTTGTTGTTGATTGTGATCCGTTGAGTGTATAAAAATATACAACATTCCACGTCGCGCACATTTTGTATATTTGTTTTGAAGATTGAATGATTTATAGCTGTCAGCTTGATGGAAAATGTACTCAATTTATATCGTTCAGTCAAGATACGACAGCGTCAACAGAGCCTCTCATTTATAAAGATTTGCAGTGATCGCTCGCAAGAGCGCACAGGCATTGATCTACAGAAGACAGTTGTTGTTGGGACCCTGTTTATTTCATATTAAATCGACTTCTTCGTGCGTTTTTTTTGCTTCTTTGTCAATTGTGTGGTCATATCTTATTTCTGTCTCTGCTCTATCAATTATCATTTTTTTTTTGTTATTTGCCTTCGTTGGAATTTGATGCCATTGCTGGGCTTAGCCTTTTGACGTTTAATTTTACATCAGCCAGTCAACCGCGAATATTAAGTATGGTGAAAATCATTTCATTTTCAAGCTATATACGTATTATTTTTTTTCTCTTTTTCACACATTTTTAACATCATCAACGGCATCAGCATCAACGATAACAAACGAATCGTGATGAATCCTATTCTCTTCACTTCTATGAAATTTTGTGCAATGTGCTGAGTTATTTTCATCCATCCACACAAATCGAATATAAAATGCTACATTAAAATATGTGTATAAATAACCGCATGAATGTATTGTAGGATTATTGCGCTGAAGATTTGTTTTTTTTTCTTCGCTTCTCGTGAGTGGAAAAAAGTCGTATTTTTTTCGTGTGATATAATTTATGGGTTGCAAAGTGAGGAATTGTGTTTTTCTATTCTGAACCGATACGTAATTGTTTACACAATGGTAACTGGGCAGCTTTATTATACATATATCGGGCCTTTCATTTCGTGTTTACTCTCACTCCTCGAGAATTTGATTCGTTTCCTCTTATTCGCCAATATTTGTTTTGTATATGTGTGATGAAATGTCGACATAATGCTGACACGCAAAAACAACAACATCAACATAATATTGCTCGGAATGCACTCTCACATGCACCCAACTATTAATTCTTTGTAAAAAAAAGCACGCCATAAATTTCCACTTGTTCATGTCTTGTGCATGTTTGTGTGTAATTAGCTCAGATGTATAGATATGCATTTGTATGCACTGGATGATGATAACTTTTGGTTTGAATGATTACTTTGCAGCACATTTGCGCTGGACGATTTCTATTCATGTGATGTGTTAAATGTGATCATTATAGCCATCTTACTATCAATTTTTTTGCAATGTTTATTTCAATTTTTTTAGATAAATGTTTCTTTTGCATTTAATTAGAGATTGGCTGTCTATTTCCACTCTATAAATACCAGAAGTCTTCATTATTTTTAACAAATGGCCACCTGTTGACTGTGTATCTCATGTTATTTTCTTTTCTTTGCTGATGCAAACTTCTTAATAGTTTTCATACGAATATATGTCGAAATGCAAAATTATGTAAATGTACAGCCAACAATGGTGAATAAGAGAATAAAGTGAAATTCAAAATTTCAATTAGAAAATAAAAATAAAAAAAAAAGAAATTATACTTGAACATGACAATTTTACAAATTATAAATAACGAATATTGATATTAAGGAATTTGTGGTATATGAAAACTGAAAGTAACATTTATTTTTCAAAACACTTGCCCAACAAAAATTGTCAAAATGTTCAAAAGATGGTAAATATCGTGAATAATAGGGTAAACGTCGGAAACGGATGGACTCGGAGTTTTAACTTTTGGATTGTACAATATTTTCTCAGAAGATATAACAAACAATACAGTACGTTTGATTGAGTGTTGACGAATTAATTGGGAGAATGAAATCCTGCAATTTTGAAGTAGTAATGCTACTGTAGTATCCAATTCGACAAATCTAAGAAAATCATCTTGATATTATAATACCTTATTATTAATAAGTGAGTTTATTTTATACAAATGGTATTTTGAACAGAGCCACCAGACAATTAAAATGTATGCCAATCGAAATTCCTTAATTTCACACCTCATGAAGATAAAAGCGTCGAGACAAATAAATATTTTGTAGAAAAAAATTTACTTTGAAGAAGAAACAAATTTAGAACTGACCACATATGTGAGTCGTAATATAATTAATAAATTGAACTAATTAAATTACTTTAAAGTGTCCAAAGCATTGTGTTACACTGAAACAAATTCTATGAGAAAAACATGAATGTGTATATGTATGTGGGAGCGACAAAATGGACGGAGGCATTTTTTTCAGACGAATCAATTGCCATTTTTCCGTAGTTTAAAAAATATTTCGTCGCATACATAAATTGTCTCATCGATACCACAACGACTATCGTATTCTCATATATTGTGGGTGCATTTATAATTATAATTATAATTACTGACTATTTTTGCTCGTCGTCTAGCTCTGTAGGTATGTATGATGATGTCAATAAAATAGGGGACATTCGGTGAACCCAAATGGGTGAAATATTCAATTAGTTTAATAAAATATATATCGGCGTATTAGCATAAAATAGGCCATATCAGTGTAAATTGAAGTTTTTTCCTCGGTTTTTGCGGCGTTGGCAACTGGTATTCATGTCATAGTGTTTTGCCAAAATCATAGTGAGTGCATCAGAAATACACATCCTGAAAGGAAAAAAACTGGAACACAACTCGTGCGAGAGAAGTAGAGAGTGAAAAAAAACAAAGAATTTAACCACATGCTACGCTGCCACTAAATAGTGTACAGCTCTGACATAAATTATTGCTAATAAACAAATTCGTTGAGATTAATTTATGATTTCGACATACGAGGTTCGCAGTGTGACTAGTGAGTGCCACTGCCCGGAATCCCCATCGTTGTTCTAATTGAATGTATTTTGAATACGATGAACATGCACAAAAATAGCAAAAAAAAACTAAACTAATTTAAATTGGTAATGCGCTTGATGTTTCTGCCTCTTTAACGATCCTAATGTCCGTCCGGTGATCATTGAATGTCTGCTGCTACTGCTGCTGATGCTGTTCGCAAATATTTTACTCATAAACAACCATTTATGTGAAACTTACAATGGATGTGTGAATCTAAGCGAATTCACGTCATTCATTTCGCAGAAAATTTACTGGAATGGCGTATGCAATAGCATGCATTTTATTTTTGGGCTGCTATTTTTCGAAAATAGCCAAAAACATTGAGGACACACTGATTGTGTACGTGTGTGTGTGTATTATGTAGACTCGTGCACCATAGCGAAATAAATATCTGCGAAAAATCCTAATAAATCTGTGGCGTTATGGAAGTGGTGTGAACGAACAGCAGCTAATCATTGCCTGAATTGATACTACACATCCAAATGCCACTGACAACTATGAGCATCATTTCACACATGCGGATATTGTAGTGTGAATGCAGTTGCCTATGCACGCGGAATTTTTGACAACCT